CTGGGCGAGAGGTGGGCGTGGGGTCCCAGGAGGCCTGTTATGCCAGCACGGTGCCAGGATGCTGACGTGCTGCTCTTGCAGGCAGCTGCCCGGCACCAGTGCCGGTACCTGGTGAACCTGCATGTGCTGCAGTTCCTGCGGGCAGGGGGTGATCCCCAGTGGCTGCGCGGCCTCGACTTCATCCCCCCCAAACTCCGCAACCTCAATGAGATCAACAAGATCCTCGCGCATCGGCCATGGCTCATCACCAAGGAGCACATTGAGGTATTGGGGGGGGGCTATCAGCCAGGGACCAGGGCTGCAGCGGGGACAGCAGTTTCCCCAGGGGGTGCTGGAACCCTGCCTGCCTGCCTGCCTGTGTCACATTGCTGGTCTGTCTGTGTCCTGCAGAAGCTTCTGAAAATTAGCGAGTGGAGCTGGTCGCTGGCAGAGCTGGTGCACGCTGTCGTCCTCCTGGCACACTGCCATGCGCTCGCCAGCTTTGTCTTCGGCTGTGGTTGTGAGCAGGACGAGGGGCCAGGGTGCCGAGGCTCGCTGAAGCCCTTGTCGCCCGGGAACCAGTGCTTCTGCGAAGCCACTGCTGGCAATGGCTGCAGCCAGGAGCTGCTGCGCATCAACCGCAAGCGTGTGAGTCCCCAAGGGTGGGTCCACGGGGGGACGGGGGTTGTGGCCAGGACCACTGCCCTCACCCCTGAGCCTGTGTCTGTGCAGTCCCTGGACTCCTGCATGGAGCTGGATTCCCTCCGGGAACGCATGCAGCGGATCCACGTGGAGACCGAGGGCAGGGAGGAGACAAGGCTGCTGCAGCAGGACCGAGAGGAAGGTGAGGGGCAGGAAGCGGAGGTGTGCGGGATGGGAATTCGTATGGCATACCTGGGTGTTGCTTCCCCATGTTACATTTTCTTGTGATGTATGGAGAGGGGCTCCTGGGATGCTGGCAGGGGGGAAGAAGGCAGTGGCACTTCCCGAAGAGGCACAGCAAGGCCTGGCTTTCGATGCCTGGTGTGGCAGGGAACAGGGCAGCTGAGCATCGCTCTGACCTGTCTGCAGGGCTCTCCCCTCTCACAGATACTGACGGGGAAGTCACCGGTGCCACCAATCTTGCATGCTACATGCAGGACCCTGACTTTGGATACCAGGACTTTGCCCGGCGCGACGAGGATCAGACGCAGGTATTCAGAGTCCAGGTGAGGTTCCTGCTGTCTTGGTGGGCAGCAGCCCGGGCTGCCACCTTTCCTCTCCTCTCTGCTCCTGGTGGGGAGTAGACAGTCGCCGGGTGGCTGTGCAGCCCGGATTTGGTGCAGCTGCCTTTGCAAAATGCCCGAGCAGGGAAACTCAGCTCTGAGAGGGGACCTGCCCCACTAGGGTTGGCGAGAGGGAGGTGACCAGTGACTTCTGTCCTCAAGGGCTTTCTTCACATCGCTCTCATGGAGGCAAGGGTCAAAATAATTCAAAAGCTGCCTGATGAGGGATGTTGTGGTTTGTGGGGCAGAGTTGCCCCCAGAGCAAACCTATTGAATTCTGCTGTGTCCTGAGGTCTCCAGCCCTGGGCCCTGAGCATGCCCTGGGCTCCTTTTTGCAGTTGCAAAAGCCTCTTGCTGTGCTCAACAGGATTACTCCTGGGAAGACCATGGTTTCTCGCTGGTCAACCGGCTCTACTCTGACATTGGGCATCTCCTGGATGAGAAGTTTCGGATGGTGGATGGTCTGCAAAGCAGTGCCATGGCCAAGCGGCAGGGCTGTGAACCCTCTGTCTTCAAGCGGGGCATCTGGAACTACATCCACTGCATGTTTGGCATTAGGTAGGCAAACCAGCCTTGCAGTCCAGCGGAGAAAACCGAGCTGACCCAGGCCGGAGGAGGGTAGGACACCTGGGTTGTCTTGCCAATGGGCTTGGAAAAGAGACAGAGGTAAATCGCCTGCCTGGATGCTGGGCCAGGCAGGGAAGAGATGCTCAGCTTCTCTGGTCAGGGCAGGGCACTTCAGGGATGGGGCTTCAGTGCCTGGGGGCCGCTGCTGTGTGTCCCCCTGCCCTGTGGCTGTGCCATGCCCCGGGCAGACCACGGCTGAGGTGCTCCACAGGGACACGGTTGGTGCTGGCCGTCACTCACCCCTGTGCTCCCCGCAGGTACGATGACTACGACTACGCAGAAGTGAATCAGCTCCTGGAGCGAATGCTCAAAGTTTACATTAAAACCGTAACCTGCTACCCAGAGAAGACAAACTCAGAAATGTTTGACAGGTTCTGGAAGCAGTTCAAGCACAGTGAAAAGGTGGGACAGCTGGCCTCTGGCTCTGACTGGCTGTGGTGGGGCTGGGAGCAGGCAGGGACTGCAGGCTGAGGTGCTTCAGGGGGTGTATGGGAAACCTTTGAGCCATGAAACCAGTCTGAGACAGGTCGGGGGGAAGTGGAAACTAGTTTGCAAGCAGTTGGGCTTAGCGTGGCTTGGGGCTGCCCGCAGTGTGATGAGTGCGGGCCACCGGCAACACGGGGATCTCCAAGGCCGTTACCCCATCAGTGAGTGCCTCTAGGTGAGCCCTCGGTCCAGCGGTAGCTCACAGGAGCGGCTGCTGTGGGCGGGCAGCAGGGACTGTGCCGGTGCCAGCCTGGTATGTTGGTGCAAGTGTGCCGGGGACTCTCCAGCATGCAGCTCTGGGAGGCAGCCACAGCCTGCAGGTCTGGGAGGAGGGAAAAAGGGCAGCTGCCTGTGCTGGAAAAATCAATATTATTTTGTCCCATGCCAAAAGACTCACTAGCCCAGGTGGGCGCTTGCTTGCACCACTGCAGCTGCCTGAACCTCTTTTGCTTCTCCCTTAGGTCCATGTGAACCTTCTCATCCTGGAAGCCCGAATGCAGGCAGAGCTGCTGTACGCGTTGCAGGCCATCACCCAGTACATGATCTCCTAGACGGTGGGGAGCTGCGCTGCGGCAGGGCCGGGCAGCATCCTCTCTCCCTGGACTCTTGTGTGACCTGTCATGCTGGGATGGACAGCGAGGGATTACTCAATTTAGTTTACTTGACTGTCTTGTTCCTCCCCCCCTCCGCCCTTGTGGGGCTCGCTGAGTGGCCCCATTTATGTGCAATTACCAAACTGTGAGGCAAGTCCATGCTGCTGAGATGTTGGTGTGATGCTGGAGACTTGAACGTGTCCAAGGAGGACTGCCAAAGATGTGGGGGGAGAGGGAGGCGGGAGGGGACTGGGGCTGGTTTAGAAGGATACTCCCCAGTGAGCAGAAGCTCCTCACCTAGGCGCTGCAGGAGCCTTGGCTGCTGCAGGGAGGGCAGAGGGGAGAGCTGGCTTCCTTCCCTGTGCTGCAGTGGCTGCCCTGCTTGCAAGCCACCCTTCAGTGCCTGGCCTCGTTGGGGTGATGCATGTCACTTGGGAACAGCACAGGCAGCTTGTGGGTGCATTGCAATGTCCTGAGTTGTGTGGTCAGGCAGGGAGGAGCGCTGGCTCTGAGCGAGGGCCCTTCCCCAGCCTGGGACGGGAAGGGGATGCACTTGCTGCCTATGCATCCTCCCCTTTAGGTCTATGTGCCAAACACCTCTGGGATGGACAAGCAATGACCCAGGTGAACTCCAAACTGTGAAGCTCTTGCTGGCAGGGTGCCCTAGTGCTCCTGCCTTCTCTGACAGCAGTATGAGAAGGTCTCTGACAGTGTTCAGGCTCTGGAGGTTTCTGCAGGGGACTTTGGACAGTCCTCTGGGAGCTTGCCCCAAAGCCCTTCCTCTGCCTCCCATCAGCGGGAGGGCAGGAGGAACATGGGAGGCCTCCTGACTTAACGGGGCTCGTATCTTCTTACCACCCTGAGAAGGCTGAGGTCTGTGCCCAGTCACTTGCTGCTCAGCAGCCTGCAGTCAGCACAGGTGAGCTATGGGAAGCTTCTCCTTCAACCTGGGCTGGGGGGACTCCCTGGGCTGTCCCCATTTGAACAGAGGCAGCCTGTGCACCAGCCTTGCCCTCTGCCCAGCAGGCAGGAGCATGCACCACCACTTCCCCCTGTCCCAGGGCTGTTCCCTGCCCTTGCTGCAGCCCCTGGCTGGGGAGGTATGAGGGATCTGGCACACACTCCGGACAGCAGCCACGAAAGGGGAATGAGGCCACCTGTGTGGTAAGTGGGAGCCTGAAGCAAGCACAGCTGTCAAGTCAGCCCAGCACATGCTGCTTCAGTCAACCTGTTTACTGCATAAATGTACGGGGAGAAAACCTTGTGTATGGAAGCTACAAAAAAACCTATTTTTGCTATAAATATATTATGTTTGACATGGATGCATTGCTTTATTTCTGCCAGATGTTGGGAATGGGATCCAAACTTACATGGCTGCTCTGAAGACAGGACAGCAGTACCTGGATGACTGCAGCCCTGAGATGGCTCCAAGCTCCAGGAAACCCAGTGTTCCCAGCCATGGCAGGGTCCTGCGCTGACAGCTCTGGTCCAGGGCCAGCAACTGGTCACCGAGGCTGGACCCATCCTGTTTAGCTCAGCTATGTCCTCTTTCCATGCTCAGATGAGCAACTCCTGCAGCGTTGCATGTTCAATAGGAAAAGAGGGAAGATTTTCAAGGGGCTGTGTGCTCTGGCAAGGAGGAGGGTGCTGGAGGAAGGAGCTGGCTTCTCCCCTGCCAGGTACCTGGCCATGGGTGGGCGAGGTGTGGGTGCTGCTTCTGCAGCTGAGGAAGAAGCATTTTGCTTGCACTCACAAGCAAGTGAGCAAGGCCTTGGAGAGCAAGGCCAGAAACCAGGACCAGCTCTTTCCCCAGCCACACTGCAGGTGCCCTCCCTGCAGCACAGGCTAGAGGAACCCGTGCTGGGGCTGGACCAGCTTGTACTGGGCCAAGCTGGTGCCTGGGAAGTAAAATGCCAGGACAGCTGGTGCTGGGCAGTACTGGCTGAGTCAGTACTGGTGCCAGGACAGTGGCACCAGTGCCAGGATGACTGGTGCTGGGACAGCTGCCACCAGGCTTCGCTCGACAGTACTGGAACAGGCACTGCTGTACAACATTTAGCCCTATTGAGGGCTGGGCACACATCAGGACAGCTGGGTGTCCTGCTCACTATCAGGTGTAGCGCTCTGATTAACTGTAGCAGCCTGGCTGCCTGCCAGCCTTTCCCTGTCCCCTGCAGGGCTGGGATGAGCCACAACAGTCAGTTCTCTGCAGGGCTCACTGCTCCAGAAGCAAGCAGCACATCTGCAGCTCCACACAGCCTGGGGCTGGCTCCCAGCATGCTGCCAGCAGTGGCATCCTCGCCACCCACCATCACCCCATGCTGCTGGGGAGAGAGAAGGGAGAAGGCAGTGACAGCACAGCACTGGCTTGGGGCGAAGGGCTGCCTGTTCCCAGGAGATGCGAAGCAGGTTCCCTTTTGCCCCCTATCTATCTCCATTTGTGCACAAAGAGCTGGCCTTGCAGGATCCTGGGCAGCTGCTGCTGGCTCTGGCGTGCAGAACAAGCACCAGTCACAGCAGCAAGGTGAAGGGTTCCATGGACTGTCAAACCTGACCAGAAATGAGCACAGCTGCTGGCAAGGCCAAGGGAGACTGCCAGCCTCAGCTCCCCAACAAGAAGAAAATATCCCCACATGATCTCAGAGCTACAAAGAAAGAGATGAAGCAACTATCTACTCCCCTCCCTGCAGAGCCAGCAAAGTTCCTATCATGTCCCAAGTAGGTCTTGTAGCAGATAACTCAAGTATGGGAGCTTGTGTCACTGGAGAATCCTGTAAGGGTCTTCTTGACCAGGCACTTCAGGGCAGTTCTACACCCACACCAGTAACTACAGCTTAGCTTTTGAAACCCATGAGCAGGTCCTTCACCTTACCAACACCCCCTGCTCCTCTCCTGCACCTAGCAGGCTGTGAAGCTGTTGCCCAGGCTTTGAGGCTTCCTGGGAAAGGCAGCGCAGGTACTACACCATTCGAGGTAAGCAGATGACTCTAAGCCACACAGCACACCACGAGTCTGGCAACTTCAATGCTTGGGACCCTGCCCCAGTGCCCCTTGCACCCTTCATCTGCTTGGACTAGGATATTCCTGGCTATTGCTCTGTGGCTGGAAAGAGGAGAGCTGCCAGAGCCCAGGGTACCTCTCCTCTGCAGGAACCCTCCAGGATGTCCAGCACACCCGGGTGGGAGCCAGGCCACTGCGACCTTACCTGGAATTACTGAGGGGAAGATGCAGGCACACGTCTGACGCAGGCATATGTCTGATGCAGGCACCAAGTTTCTTGCAACGGCCTGTAGCAGAAAGGCATGCTGGCAGGCACAGCCAGGACTGCTTTTGTAACGGCCAAGCCATCCCCAAGCTGCATGGTGGGAGGAATGGTGTGTCCCAGCCTGCAGAGAAGAGCAAGGTACACTACAGCAGTGGTTACTATCACAGCTCCTGCAATCCACACATTAAAAGCCAGGCCTATGGCTGCTAGTCTTACCACAGCAGTGGAGGCGAAAAAAACAGTACATGGGAGCTGGGGATGGACTGTCCTGCTAGGACAGCTCTGGAGCAGGCAGTGTGCACCCCACCATCTCCCCCTTCCCCAGCCTGCCTTCCCCATGCACCAGCTACTCCACCACAAAAGCCATGTAAAGTAGGGCAACAGACTTCCCCTCTGTGCTTTCACAAGTGGTCCCATCACTGGCGGCACAGGAGAGGTGTTCATCAATCAGCAAACATCCAGGGCAAAGCAGGTCTCTGGCCAGAAACTAAGCTGAGCAGAAAAGCTGGTGAAGTTTTTGCACTGGCTTCAGGTATTGCTGCTCTGCAGGCAACTACTCCATAGGCCAAAATACTTATGGTGACAACTCAGGAGAGCTATGAGGTCTCCAAGACTGCAAGAATGGCTGACCTACTGCAAACAAGGTGCACTGAACCCACATAGCTATCAGGCCAGAACACAGCAGGACTCGGTGACACACAGCAGGACTTGTGGTGACTACTGCAGACGGTGTCACACGCATCAAAAGTGACCCTGAGGCAAAGCAGCCAGGTCCCAGGCTGGCATCTATTCTGCGCTTTGCTCTCCTTGGCAATGCTTAAGTGTCACAGGCCAATGCTCAAATTGGCATAAAAAGTGTTAACAGCTACTGGGGGGAATGCATGGTTCCCTGTTCTATGTCAAGTTTTGAATGCATCCACCCTGATCCAATCAACAACTGCAAAATACACCCTTGACATTTTGTTTCTCCACCACCACCTACCATTATGTGCCTGCAGGAAGCCCTAAGAAATGCCAAAGGAACCAATAAGGGACAGACAATTCACCTAAGGATCTACTCCCAATTCCCCATTTTTGGACACTGGCTTAAATCTTGAAGCAGGAGCCGTAAGATCACTTCCAGAGTTATTTGCATTAACTGTTTTAGCACTGTTTTTCAGGGGTATTCTTTATCAGATGTTATTGAATATTGAGTATCCAAGGCTTTGAATGCAAGTTTTCTGGCCATATACATACTGTGACTTTCTCCTCGGTAGTTTTAAAAACATCCCTGACTTGCTCTCCGTGTGTCTAACCAGGCCAGTGGAATCCATGCTCTACACCCCTTCAGCCATTTTTCTCTGATCTCCTTACCTGCCTCTACTCCAAAGCAACATGACTGAGGCCCTGAACCGATCTTGTCATCTGCAAGACCCCTCCTGAGCTGTGGGGCATGGAGTACCCCCAGGGCAGAGGGGGACAGCACATTCTCCAGCCTCATCCCAGCTGTGAGAAGGCAGACCTGCTGGAATGACATGCTGTTTTCATTCAAGGGCTCCATGACATTCCATGCAAGCTGCTTCACTGGCTCAGACTGTATCTACATTCCTACTTGCCTTATGTCAGGGAAGGACCCCTTAAGGTACCTAGGTGAAGCCTTCTCCTGCCCAGAGAGGCCTCTTACCCACTTACACACCTCTGAGCAGTCCCAAGGAATGACCAGCTCCTGGGTTCCACTCTGACATTCATGTCCCCTTTGATGGGCAGGTCCAAGCCATTATCTTCTAATATAACAAATGCTCCCCAGCTGTAGTAACCTTCCTTTTCCTGATGGAAGATTTAGGGTATGCAAGCAAAGATAAAAGCTCACTCACCTGTTCTAATTAAGTGTCAGCATCTGCTTGTGGATG